AAATTTTCACACATCACCTGCAGGAAATTCTCTAACACTATTCTCACAAATTCATTATTGGCCCAAAGCCTGGAAATCGTGGCTCATTTTGGTATTATTTATCATTATGGAGTAAAAACAGTCTGCAAAAATGTGACAGATTATAATTTCTGCCTGGTAGGTTTATATCTTACTTTTCAGTATATTAATGTAATACTTCATGTTTCTTTATTAAGACCTCCAAATATTATTAAAGCATTTTCTCTGGCATCCAACCGCATAAACTGATGCCCCCCCCCCAACTTTTCTTCAATAGCAAAAAAATGAAATAAGACAAACTGGCCAAAATGTACAAGAATTTATACAAGTTCTTGTGAACACATGGACATGGACACATGTGGGGTTTTTTTGTTGTTGTTAATGTTAAAACATTCTCCTTATCTTCAATATGGAAACCTGCTATTAAAGAAACCAAGTGAGGGGATCCCTGGGTGGCTCAGCGGTTTGGTGCCTGCCTTTGGCCCAGGGTGCGATCCCGGAGTCCTGGGATCGAGTCCCACGTCGGGCTCTCAGTGCATGGAGCCTGCTTCTCCCTCTGCCTGTGTCTCTGCCTCTCTCTCTCTCTCTCTCTCTCTCTGTCTATCATAAATAAATAAATAAATCTTTAAAGAAACCAAGTGAATGTGGAATATTTTTACTTCGGTTTATTAGTTTTTATTTCAATTTTCCTGTTTACAACTGTTACACAGAAGACATTCAGAGAGAATGATACATGAAAATTTAATAAACCTGAATGCTATGTGTAGCTTAATTCCATGTGGTCCATCCCCATTCAGATTCTAGAATTAAAAGGCAAGCATCATGTACATGGAAGGGAATTCTGGCTCCCATACTCCCAAGTTCACTTCCTGATGACTACTTACTATTCCCATTATACCCACAACAGTTTTTAGAAATTTTAATTCCAGCTAATTAACATACAGTGGTATATTAGTTTCAGGTCTATCATATAGTGATTCAACACTTCCATCCATCACCTGGTGCTCATCATGACAGGTGTGCTCCTTAATCCCCATCACCTGTTTCACTGTTCCCCCACCCACCTCCCCTCTGGTAACCATCAGTGTGTTCTCTATAGTTCAGAGTCTGTTTTTTTTTTTAAGATTTTTTTTTTTTAATTCATGAGAGACACACACAGACAGGCAGAGATACAGGCAGAGGGAGAAGCAGGCTCCTTGCAGGGAGCCTGATGTGGAACTCCATCCCAGGACCCTAGGGTCATGACCCAAGCCAAAGGCAGACACTCAACCACTGAGCCACACAGTGGCTCCGAAGAGTCTTTTTTTTTGGGGGGGGGGTCTCTCTTTTACCCACAACAGATTCTTTTAAAAAAAAATATATATATATATATATATTTATTTATTTATTTGAGAGAAAGAGGGAGAGCATGCACATGGGGAGGGGCAGAGGGAGAGAATCCCAAGTAGTCTCCCTGCTGAGCTTGGAGTCCCCCCCCCACCTCCCACCCCTTTAACTTCCCATCACCCCATGCCAGACTCATTCCCAGGATGCATGAGATCATGACCTGAGCCAAAATCACGAGTCAAACGCTCAACCTACTAAGCCGTGCAGACACCCCCACAACAGTTTGAGTCTATACTGAGCAGCAAAAAGGAACCTAAAATGCAGATGCAGTAAATACAGCAAGAGTAGCCAAGAAAAGACCTCTGTGACCTTGAGGCATACGAATATATATGTTCATAAGCAGAATAGACATGCAAATATTTGCTGAACTCAACTTCAGAACAATGCAACACGTTTTTCAAATGCATATTCCCAGTTGAGAATGAACACATTCTCATTGAGTGTGTTCTGGGAAATCTATTTCAGTCAAGACAGTAGGAAAGAATATAAATCACAAAAGAAGAGAAGAGCATACTCCAGCCTAAAGGAGCCAAGTCAGCTCTAAATGGTGCAAAAGTAGCCTTAGTAACTTGAAGTTGAAGCTCAAATTTGCCTCTACAGTGTTAGTAAAAGGGATCTTAATACTGCAATTTTTTTTCCTACTTCTGCTCAAAAAGAATGGTTTTTGAGAAACCAGTTGGGAAAGATTTCAATTCTAAATTTTCAGCTCTTTGAGAGTATGTTTGTATGGACATACATAGGAAGTAAGCCAAACATTTGGAAAGAATTAAATAAGTGACAAGAACACATGTAAACGAATAAGGACAACTTGTATCTCAATCCAAAGTAAGGGCATAAATTTCATATTTGCAATAAAGAGGATTAGGGTAAATCTCATTTCCTTTACATATTTCCAAGAATATTCATACCACCAATAACACAATATAGCCAGAGTCATTTACTGTACTTAACTAAAATTCATTTATTTCTCATATACACTACATCACAATACACCAAAAATTTAATATACATGTTTTATACATAAAATTTAAACTTAAAAACAAAGCTACTGGTGTTGCCCTTACAACACTTCCTGACCCAAATATGAAAGAACATTCTAACTCTGTAGTTTGGGAGAATAGGACTCACCCCAGGGTTAGAAGATGAACAAATACAGCTTTTCATCACAAATACTAAAAAAGCAATGTTCACATGGCAGGTGTTTGACTACCAACTTGACCTTAGCATAGAGGCGGCATATCAGTTACATTGACTCTTTCACTAAAGAAGCACTTGCAAGGAGCACGTGAGTGGCTCAGCCAGTTAGGCATCTGCCTTCAACTCAGGTCATGATCCTGAGGTCCTCGGATAGCGATTGCGTCTCACATCAGACTCCCTGCTCAGCGGGGAGTCTGCTTCTCCCTCTCTCTTTCTGCCCTTTGCCCCTGCTTGCGCTCTCTCCCTCTCTCTATCTCTCTCTCAACTAACTAAATAAAATCTTTAGGGATGCCTGGGTGACTCAGCGGTTTAGCACCTGCCTTCGGCCCAGGGCATGATCCTGGAGACCCAGGATCGAGTCCTGTGTTGGGCTCCCTATGTGGAGCCTGCTTCTCCCTCTGCCTGTGTCTCTGCCTCTCTCTCTCTCTTTCTCTCTCTCTCTGTCTCTCATGAATAAATAATATCTTTTTAAATAAATAAAATCTTTTTAAAAAAGAAGAAAAAGAAAGAACACCATCGAGCACTTAAAGGTCTCAGTCTAACTGGACTCCATTCTCAGCCCCCAAGATTCATAGAATTCACAACATACATATCCATCCACTGTCAAGCTAAAGTGAACACGCAGTCAGTTCCATTATTTGGCAATTATCTGGCTATCTGGCTGAAATATTTTCAGGTCATATAGATTTGTGGTCCTAATAGAGAGGCTGTGGATTAGGGTGGATGACCACCTACCTACACATTATGATTTCAGGGGTCCCAGAAAATAATGTTCTGTGTAATTCCATAATCGTTATGAGCTGGTGGTCATCGCCCACAGACAACCACAATGCATGAACCACAAACTATGAAATGTTAACATATATAAACAAAGAGGTATTGTTTAATGTTCTCCAGAGAAATACAACCAAGAGATGTACATATATGGGGGGGGCGGTTATTATAAGGAATTGGTTCATATGATTATGGAGGCAAATCCCTCTACCAGTGAGTTGGAGGCTAGAGACCAGGAGAGCTGATCATTTAGGTCTAGTCTAAGTATGAAGGCCTGGGAACCAAGAGAGCTGATGGTGTAGATCCCATCTGAAGGCCAGCAGCCTCAAAACCCAAAATGAGCTAATGTTTCTGTTTGAGTGCAAAGGCAGGAAAAAAGCCAGTGTCCCAGTTTGAAGGCAGGAAGAATTTTTTCTTACTCCGGCGACATCAGCCTTTGTCTTGTATTCAGTCTCTCAACTGATTAGATGAGGCCCACCCACATTAGGGAGAGTAACCTGCTTGACTCATTCTATCAATTTATATGCTAACCTCATCAAAAAAACACTCTCTAAACACCCAGAGTGTTTGACCACATATCTAGCTCTCCCAGGATCCAGTCAAGTTGACACATAATTAACCATTAGAAAATGTTTCTCAGTGATTCAGAGAAAGTCCAACTACCATAATTCTACCTATTCTCAAAGACAAACAATCTAGCCCTTGTAGAGGTGTGATGAGATGCCTTTCTGAGGGATATGTGCAAGTTGGGCACAGGAAACTAAAGCCCGTAAGTCATAAGCATCCCTAAGAAGACATAAATGTCTGAGCCTGAGGCTGGAATAGGTAAAAGTCTAGGCTGTGCTGAGCTTAAAACAGGACAGCTGCCTGCATATTGGGGATGAAAATAAAAGTGAGAATACATAAAGGTTCTCCCTTGGTTCTGAGACCCAGCCCCCTGTCAAGTTTCTGCTCAGGCTCCCCTGCTCAGAGGGGAGGAGTCTGCTTCTCCCTCTCCCTCAAACAAATAAATACAAAACAACAAAAAAAGTGAGATCAGTGCAGGTTTCTCAACACCAGCAAAAAGCAACAGATGATAAATTCACAAACTACACTAATTCATTCAACAGTGACCTTTTTAAAAGATTTTATTTATTCATTCATGAGAGACACAGAGAGAGAGAGAGAGAGACAAAGAGAAAGAGAGAGGCAGAGACACAGGCAGAGGGAGAAACAGGCTTTCCTGCAAGGAGCCCAATGCAGGACTCAATCCCAGACCCTGGGATCACGACCTGAACCAAAGACAGACACACAACCGCTGAGCCACCCAGGCATCCCACATTCAACAGTGTTAACAGAGTTTCTGCTGTGTGTTGGACATTGTAATAGACACTTTAGATACAAATATAAATAAAAAATATATTCTTCCCTCTAGAAGCTCACAGTCTGGAAGGGAACACAAATATGCAAATAGATAATGACTACCCATCATGGAAATTTCACAATACATTGTGATGATCTTTGCTCAGCTGGTTCTGAGCCAACGGGAAGTTAAGGCATCGCAGAAAGTGTTTCAGGAGTCTTCTGCCAAAGATACATCCTCTTCTCTCCACCTCTTCCTGCTATGCCAATAGTTCCTGAAATTCCATCCAGAGATTTGTGTTAGCAATTAAAAAAAAAAAAACTCAGCTAGAAAGGCTCTCATCCACATCTCAGTAAATTAGCTTCATAAACTACTCCACATCTAGTTGAAATCAGCCACATGAAGAGAATGGGAGTTTTGAGAGGCAAGGATAGGAAACGAGAACTAATCTGGAAGATACAGCATGATAGCCAAAGAGATTGCAGGAAAAGGGCATCTCTGAAAATGGGTAATGCAAGGTCTAGGTCTTAAGACACAAGAATCCATTAACTTCCTAATACTTTCAGAAGATGAACCAAATGAATGGAAGCTGCATCCAGAATATTTCACTTCAAAATTCTCCCTTAGAGCTAATCCAAAGCGGGACCCTGTGTTACCACCTCTCTAAAAGCATGGCTGCCATGCTTGGTCCCTAACCTCATCACAATTATTCTGTCTTGGAGTGTCTGGGTGATCTTGGTTGGGGGAAGGGTTGAAGGACAGAAGGGAGTCTGATGTAGCCATTCAACAGAGAAAGAAGAATATATGGATGAATTAAAGATCTATTTAAGGAAAAGACAGACTTACAGAGAGGAAGAGAACAGGGAAAGTTTTTTACTTATATATACCCAAAATGTTACTCAATAATTAATTACTCTCTTCTGGTCACTTACTTGGCTACCATTCATAGCTGTCTTTGTCTGTAACCTTTAAACTCCAAGTACATACTTGATCTTTGAACTCCAGATTTCTCCTTTCACTTATTGGCTATTGACAGCATTAAAAGGAAATTTTTCAATAGGTTTTTTGTTTGTTTGTTTGTTTGTTTTTTAAGTAGGCTCCATGCCCAACATGGAAACCAAGGTGGGGCTTGAACTCACAACCCTGAGATCAAGACCTAAGCTGAGATCAAGAGTCACATGCTTAACCAACTGAGCCACCCAGACACCCCTTTTAATAGTTTGTAAATTGCATTTTCTGTGACTTGGTTCCTTTAGATTCCAAACATTTTGGGTAAAATGAGATTGAATGTAGCCAATGCAAAGTCTAAATCCTCATATAAAAATCTACTAACTTTCTAATACTTTCAGAAGACACATCTAATTTCTGAATGAAAGCTGCCTCCAGACTACATTAAGTGTGTTCTGGGTAGAAATTGTTTTGGCACGTACTCTGTAGAAATCCATGTAAAATTTCACTGAACTGAAAGTAAATTACCCACAGAGCAAAAAATATTTTTGAAAGCTTCAAACAAATTCTAAAGGATGGCAATCCTTGGGAGAAAAACAGTAAACAAATAAGTATATACCAATGATAGTTGAGTTAGAAATTGTAGTTCTGGGTAATGTATCTCAATAGAAGAGACTACTCACCTTTAATTTGGTTGGATGTGGTTAACATAATTGATCTGGGGGCCCTATTTAGATACAACCTCAAATACCAAAGTTAAACTTCTTCATCTGTGTATTTTATTGGAAAGAAATGAAATACAGAGACACCTGGGTGGCTCAGCAGTTGAGTGTCTGCCTTCGGTCGGGGCGTGATCCGGGTCCGGGGATCAAGTCCCACATCAGGCTCCCTGTGAGAAGACTGCTTCTCTCCCTGTCTCTGCCTCTGTGTGTCTCTCATGAATAAATAAATAAAATCTTAAAAAAAAAAAAAGAAATGAAATACAGGGAGAAGCAGGCTCCCTGATGCAGAACTCAATCCCAGGACCCCAGGATCATGACTGGAGTCAAAGGTAGACACTCAACCACTGAGCCACCCAAGTGTCCCTAAATAAATAAATCTTTAGAAAAGAAGTCAATTACTTTGTCTACTGAATCACCTTCTGCACAGAGTCCAAGGAAAATATTTTCACATGCTTCTCTCAAACGTGGTATCAGAACATTTTAAATATATGGAAACTCTCACATTGCCTAATTCTGTCTCACCAAATCATGATGTAGATAAAAAGGTACCACTATAATTTTCCTACAAATGAAAAAGACTAAGAAGTTGCAAATCACTCATAATTTTGAAGTACAAGTAAGCTGGCTAGAAGCGTTTACATTATCCAAAGTTGAGGAGTGTTCTATGGAAATTTTCCTCTATGTTAGAACTTAAAGGCTTTTTCCTGGCTTTGTCTTTCAAGATCTCATCTCACTTGATCCTACCATCCACATTCCACTTTACAGACCTTTGATCTTGTGACTTTTCATCTTTCAGGACCCAGCTTAGGCATCTCTTCCAAGAAGCCTTCCTTGATTATCCAGGGCACCATGATTTCAAATTACCTACTGCTTATGCCACTAACCAACAGCTAGATAGCTTTGCTTCCTTTGGTAATATCCAAGCTTTCCACTGATCACTTGTCATAGGTGCTGTTCAAGCATTGAATGATGAAGGGGACTAAATGTTCTGAGAACTTGATTATCAATGTTTTTATTATACTCCCAAGTAAACCATGATCCTTTTTTCTTTTTTTAAAGATTTTATTTATTTATTAATAAGAGGCAGAGACAGAGAGAGAGAAAGAGAGAGGGAGAGATTGAGAGAGAGAGAGTCAAGAGACATAGGCAGAGAGAGAAGTGGTTTCCCTGTGGGGAGTCTGATGTGGGACTCAATCCCAGGACCCCAGGATCACAACCTGAGCAGAAGGCAGATGGACACTCAACCACTGAGCCACCCAGGCACTCGATCATGATTCTTTTCACATAGTTATCATCATGTTGGTTACTCTCTTTACATCCCTACACTGACCATTTAATAATGGTTGATTATTTACCTGAAGGTTAGGGTTAATAATAGTTGATTATTTACCTGAAGGTTAAGGTTATGGTTATTTTGTTATGGTTATACTGGTGGATGATAATAAGGGTCACATCCATTTGTGTCGAAGGAAAGATCTCCCCTGGATTGAGAAATCATTTCTCAGTTATCTGGGTCAGAGACCTAACTCTGAGCCCAGCGCTGGAAACCAAGCGTCCAATAAGATGGGGCACTCGTAATTTTAATGGTAGCAAGGCCAAGAAGACAGCCCCCTGGTGGAGTTGGTCAATGGTCTCATCAGTGACAATTAATGAGTCAGGAAACAAGAATGCTGGGAGGTGCTATCTGAGCCACAGGGTAACTACCCCAAATCTAAGACAGGACTTGTGGTCCCTTGAGTTCAAGCTAATTCATGAGAAGATCAGAATTCAGTATTCTGTAAGCTTTAAAAAAAAATGCTTTTGACATTTTTCAAATTCCCCTTTCAAATTTCTCTTTTGTTTTCTACATGTATTGGGTAAAGCTGTTTTTGAAAACCCAGTCTGCCTCAGCTCTGTTAAGGGAAACAAATTATAGGCTTTGCCTTTGCTTGAGCAAGCCCAGGGCCAGAAGTACACAGTGAGGCAACACACACTCAAGTTAAAGAAATCTTACGGAATGGGAGAATCGGGAGGAAGAGTAGGAGTCACCTGCTGGGTTCCAAATCCAGGAAGATTTAGAGGGCATTTTACCAAGATTGGCAGCATTTTAAAATAGACAAATATTGTATTACTTGGGATAATTTTCATTTCTCATACTAAAATGTAAAACTACAATTGCATACAAATCAGAAGTCTTGCAAAAGTCTTACTTGCAAAAATTCAGAGCATACATACTCTATAAGCCTTTTTCCCCTTGACGGTATAAACAAGGTCTGTTTTCCCAATTAGTTTCATACAAAATGCAAACATTATTCTCCCATCATAAAAGTAATTTTTAAGCTCATCTAAAACATTGCCAGGTAATACTTTAGCATAGTTACTCGAGATACACTTTTTTTTTAAAGATTTTATTTATTTATTCATGAGAGACACACAGAGAGAGGCAGAGACACAGGCAGAGGGAGAAGCAGGCTCCATGCAGGGAGCCAGAGTGGGACTCAATCCCGGGTCTCCAGGATCACGCCCTGGGCTGAAGGCGGTGCTAAACTGCTGAGCCACCCAGGGCTCTCAAGATACCCTTTTTTTAAGAATAAAATTTGCCTTAGGTATTATGAGATAGCTTTTCCATTGTACATATTCTGTTGTATTTTCCAAACAATGTAAATAACAAATTATTTTAGAAGGAAGCTATCTACAAATTTCCTTACTATTGCCCCAATAACGTAAACTTTATTAATTCTTATTAAATTCAAATAAATCATAGACATTATATACTTGTGAGCTACATAAATTTACATTACAAATTGTATAAATTATATGCATAAAAATTTAAGGATATATTCTTAAATTAATCTTAAACACAAATCCGCAAGTGGAATGCATTAACATTTCCCATTCTAAAATCCGTAAAATACTCCTCTAGAAGCAGCAGCATTGTGATAGAATTCTTAAGTGAAGTTTGCTGAAACTTCTTGAGATATGCATATCATTTTTAGACCAACTAGTTTTGAGGTTAGACAAACTGAGTAAATCTGAAAGTCTGGATCAAGTGTCTCATGTCTAACGTAAAGATTATTGATAAAGATTTATTGGAAAGCATTGATTTTTTTTTAAGTAGGCTCCATGCCCAGTGTGGAGCTCAGCAAGAGGCTCAAACTCATGACCTGTCGATTGAGACCTAGCTAAGAGCAAGATCAGATGCATAACAACTGAGCCACCCAAGTACCCCTGGAAAGCACTGATTTTTAAAAATATAGCCTCAATGTGAAATTTGGGGTAACTGTTTTCCCTGGAAACCTATGGAATAGTTTTTTCTTCCAGAGGAAGAAAAATTGTTTATTTTCTTAGAAACTTTGCCCAATATACGTCTTTAAGATGCCGGAAATTTTGTAAATTTCCTATCTCTAAAAAATGGAGCACTTCAGTCCATTGAATATGCTCAAAACTAGAACACATGAACTAAAAAGTGCTGAACTTTGAAATTACAAAAGTAGAAGACATCCATAAAATACATTCTATATGAGACACACCAATCAGATTCTATTTTTTTTTGACAGCATAAAATGTACTTACAGAACTGGGTGTTAGTGTAACAATAAATTATTATACAAAGTATTTTGAGGAAAAAAATTTGGTTATCCAATCTTCTCTTTGAGCTCTATGTAAATAGAAATTTACTCTAAGGACTGTTTGGGGTATAAAAGTCAAAGTGATCCAAAAGTGTTTAGGAGATAACCTGAGATTTTAGAAGCAAAATGTATACAATCAAAACAGGTTTTTTAAATCAGCTGGCATTAAAATATTAGAATAGAAATCATAATAACTGCTAAATGCCATGGTATCACTGTTAACCAGTACTAGCCAGAGAATTAGAGAAGTAAAAATATTAGAGAAGTGAGACTTTCAGACCAAGATGAGAAAAAAAAGTTTGAATAAAATTTAAAGTACTCATGGATAATGAAACAATTGAATTGATGGAATAGTCCTTCTCCAAAATGGAGCCTAGAATTGGTAAGTAGACTCTTTCATCTGCATGCAATTCTCTGGAGAGAGGAAGGAAGGAAGGAAGGAAGGAAGGAAGGAAGGAAGGAAGGAAGGAAGGAAAGCAAATCGTTGTCAGGGAGTCCTTGGCTTCTCATTTCTTAGGGGATCTCTCAAGTGCATTGGCCTCCTTCACATGAAGGAAGGTGAAAGCAGACTTGAAAGTGCCATCGCCACTCTGTTGCGAAAAGCAGAGGAATGTAGCCCACAGAAAACCACAAAGTCCAGTGTAAGCTGTCCTCCAGTGAACAGGAACCAGGCTGAAGTTGGTGAGCTGAAACAGAAAGAAAGAGTGTGCCAGGGCTCCGTGTCAACCACAGCCTTGATTTAGCATTCCAAGGAGTTGGAGACTCACCTGCACAAAAGGCCAGTACACCAGACCGCTCTGAAATACAGAAAAACTCCATTAGAATGCCTTTTAATCCCACAAGAAACAATCCCACTGCTCATTCTATGAGAGATGAAGAAATACCAGGTGGAGAGAACCCAGAGGTGATATTGTATTTCAGGCTAAGCCGATTAAATCAGACTGCTTAAAGTCTCTCAAGTAGAAGAGGGTGGGAGCTGTGCAAAGAGCTTTTAGGTATGAGACGATTATATTAGTCAAATGTACAGGTGTGGAATGAAAAGGCTACCAGAATCAGTACCAGTTCTGTTAAACAGCCGCTTTCAAAATAACATATATGAAAAACAAAACAAAACAAAACATATACGTACGCTGTGGTTTTCCTGTTAGCCCAAGCAAATGCTGCAGGAATGTATTTATAAGAGGATCATCAATAAAGTTTTAAGTTGATCATTTTTTATTGGATGATTTGTTAATAATATCTTCTACTGGGGTGTCCAAGTGGCTCATCAAATAAGCATCTGCCTTTGGCTCAGGTCATGATCCCAGGGTCCTGGGATAGAGCCCCATGTTGGGCTCCCTGCTCAGCAAGGAGCCTGCTCCTCCCCCTCTCCCCTGCTTGTTCTCTCTTGCTCGCTCTCTTTCTCCCAAATAAATAAAATCTTTAAAAATAATATCAATAATATCTTCTACTATTTCGTGCAATGAGAGCCAGGGGTGACTCTAATTTTATCTAAAATGTTTGATTTGGGGCAGCCCGGGTGACTCAGCAGTTTAGCACTGACTTCAGCCCAGGGCCTGATCCTGGAGACCCAGGATCGAGTCCCACATCGGGCTTCCTGCATGGTGCCTGCTTCTCCCTCTGCCTGTGTCTCTACTTCTCTCTCTGTGTCTCTCATGAATAAATAAATAAAATCTTTTTAAAAATAAAATAAATAAAATAAAATGTTTTATTTTTTTATTTAAAAAAATGTAAGGCAAATAACATATACTATTTCCTGTAGAATAAGTTTAGCTGACGTTCTTGCATATTACAAAATGTCTCCAAAAAGGGAATGCTTTGCTGTCATTGTCGTTGTTGGTTTTAGGGGGAGGAGAAACAGAACTGTATTCTTCAAAAATTCTTCAAGTAATAGATAAAACAAGGCCAAGGAAATACAATTAATGGAGACTAAAGAGACCTGGCAACTAAATGCACTACCTGACCCTAGGCTGGATCCTGGGCCAGAAGGAAAAAGAAATGCTAGAGAGACCATCAGCTAGTCAATTGACAAACATGGCAGAGGATGGTGGATGAGATCAAAGGATTATTATTTTTGTTAAATGTACTGAAGTTGCTAACTCTGCTGTAGTTATACAAAAGAACACACTTAGGGGCACTTGGGAGGCTCAGTGGTTGAACATCTGCCTTTGGCTCAGGGCGTGATCCTGAGGTCCTGGGATCGAGTCCCGCATCTGTAGGGAGCCTGCTTCTCCCTCTGCCTGTGTCTCTGCCTCTGTCTCTCTGTGTTTCTCATGAATAAATAAATAAAATATTTTTAAAAAGAACACACTTATTCTTAGAAAATAGATCAAGTATCTAGGGCAAAGGGTAATTCTGTGTGTAACTTACTCGCAAATGCTTCGGAGAAACAGACAGAAAGGTGAATGGAGAGATAGATCGAGCCAAGAAAAAATAAAAGAGACAGGCAAACTGTTAACTATGGGTAAAGGGTATTCACTGAACTATTCTTCTTACTTTTTCATCAGTTTGAAATTATTTCCAAATTAAAGTTTTTAAAAACTATAATAGAGACAGATGTAACATCAGATAAATTTCTAAGAGGTAATTTACCTAAGCTCCCCCCTACCACCTTGTGGCTGGTGAAAAGAGACAGAAATTTCATGCCATCTGCACAAAAACCAACCAACCAACCAACCAAAAAGTACTACCTACATGTAAATAACAAATAAAGTAGGAATGTCCTTTCTACCTTCATCCAAAGAACTTGGATTGGGCAGGGTCTTGATTCCAAGCAATTCTATTCTCACTCATAAGAGTGGGCTTGGGCTACAAAAAAGCCTTTTGTGACAGATTCTTTTTTTGTTTTGTTTTGTTTAAGATTGTATTTATTTATTTGAGAGAGAGACAGACAGACAGAAACAGTGACCAGGATAGCACAAGCAGAGAGGAGAGGGAGAACCAGGCTCCCCTCTGAGCAGGGAGCCTGATGTGGGGCTGGACCCTAGGACCCCAGGATCATGACCTGAGCCGCAGGCAGATGCTTAACCAACTGAGCCACCCAGGCACCCCTCGTGACAAATTGTCTTTGGCTGCTTCTTGTCTTTCAATTCCTAATGTTTGTGCTCCTGGTTTCATTGATCAAGATTGACTTAAGAGCCTGGTTTGAACCCAGTTTCTTCCATATCTAATATCCCTAGCCCTAGCTGCTTTCTCCTGTCACTATTACTGATGTTCAGGATCTTCGGTATGGTATTTAACACTCAACAAAGGTGGCCTGTGTGTCTTCATTAAGGGAGGGGGATCTGAAGCATCTCCAAATCCCTGCTTAAAGCCTCTTGCTTTCCCAATTCTTCTTGCTTGCTTAAAAAAGAAAAAAAAAAGTTAAACGTATATACCTCCATAGGATCCATGATATACTGGGAAAACGTGTTCCTTTTTTCAAAATCAAGCAGAAGAAAATTACACTTGGATGTCGCATTGGACTCACAACTTCTGCCCCAAGAGAAGTTAACGAGTTCTGAACACACTTTCTGCTTAAAGGAAGAAGAAACTGTCCCTGAGCATGTGGCTTGCACGCTCCCTACCATCCGCTTCCAACCACCAAGTGGGCAATGCTGATTCTGGAGCTCAGTGTAACTCAGTAGAAGATTCCAGAAGCAGGACGGGTGATAGCCAGGTGTGGGTTGGCACTGCTTCTGATAGGGAATTAAGTACATGTGAAGCCCAAGGCCAGTCTGTGTACATTCTGCAATCCTGAAAATTCACTCCATTGGGATTAGTAAAATCAAACATCCTCTAGGCCAGAGATGGAAAGCACCCCTGAATTTGCCAGGTCTTATGGATACTGCTCAATAAATCTTAATTAAATGAGTTAATAAATATTTGTTGGACTGGGTTGTGTATATTTGCATTGAGCAAACAGCACAACAGGTGACTTACTTCAAGCCTAGAAGTAATCTTGGGAAACATTATCCTTCACACGGACTGAGCAGAATGTACACCTGGGAACATATGCTCCAAATGGGAATGATTCCATTAACCACTCAGATTCTACTTTTCCTATTTTGCAGTAATCTCTTTGGCTCCAAAATGCACTAAATGAACTGTAATCACTAACAAGAGTAAACTTAAAAAACAGGAATCGTGTGAACGTCGACTAAAACTCAGAGACACTCAAGTATAGACACCCTTAAAGCCTCTTCTCATTTCTCTTTCAAAACAAATTTAAGGGACACCTGGGTGGTTCAGTAGTTGAGCATCTGCCTTCAGCTCATGTCATGATCCCAGGGTCCTGGGATCTGAGTCCTGCATCAGGCTCCTTGCAAGGAGCCTGTTTTCCCCCCTGCCTGTGCCTCTGCCTCTCTCTCTGTGTCTCTCATGAGTAAATAAAATCTTTAAAAAAAATTTAGATCTCTGCATCAAAATATTGTTCCTTTGTGCCAACCCACTGGAGCCCTAAATTAAGAATAGCTTCCTTAGGGCTCCTGGGTGGCTCAGTCAGTTAAGTGTCTGCCTTCAGCTCAGGTCATGATCTGGGGGTCCTGGGATCGAGCCCTGTGCTGGGCTTGCTGCTCAGCAGGAAGCCTGCTTCTCCCTCTCCTTCTGCTTGCTTCTCCCTCTCCCTCACCCTGCTTGTGCACACTCTCTCTCTCAGATAAATAAATAAACCTTAAAAAAAAGAATAGTTTTCTTAAAATGTATTTAAAGTCACAAATATACTAAAAGATCTTGATTACCTTTTCAAAAGTCTGTCTTACCTTGTATGTATTCCAAAATTTCTTTTTCAGGTCCAAAAATATATCATCCTTTTCCTGGAGAATACTCATACCTATTTGTAAAAACAGGCACCACAAGGATTTTGCAAGACTCAGTAGGAAGAACACTGTATAACAGTTCAAGTTTTCTCTTTCAATATGCAAAGTACCCACCAGTATGTATCTTTTATTCATTATATCCCTTCTGATCCAAGAGTGAAAACAACATGTACTCCATTCTAAAACTAGATAAATCTTTTTAAAATATATATGGAATTTTAAAAATAAAACCAGATAAATCTTAAAGGAATGATAAATATGAAGTGAAAATAGCAGAGTATAAAAATAATAGCAGAAAGATAGCTAATAGGTATATATATATGTATACCATATACATATACCATATATATATACCATATATATATATATATACCATATATGTACACCATATATATATAGATATATGTAGTAAGAGAACCCACAGCGTTCAGATAGGGCAACTGGTGACTTCTCTGCCTTCCAAACTTTTTGTAAAATGTTTAAAATTTTTTTAAATGTTTTAAAATGTTTTAACATTTTAAATGTTAAATATTTTAAATGTTTAACATTTTAAATGTTTAAAAATGTTTAGCATTTTAAAAATTTAGGGTCGCCTGGATGGCTTAGTCTGTTAAATGTTTGTCTTTGGCTCAGGACATGATCCCGGGGTCCTGGGATAGAGCCCCCACTGGGCTCCCAACTCATCAGAGTCTGCTTCTCCCTCTGCCTCTGCCCCTCCCCCTGGCTTGTGCTCTAGCTCATTCTCAATCTCTCTCTCTCTCTCATGAATAAATAAAGTCTTTAAGTAAATAAATAAAATTTTAGACACTTAATTTCCTTCTTTTTAAAGAATAAAAAAAAAGGCTGATGGACCTCGTGGGTATTCAGGCAACTACAAAGTTCCCATCAGCATTCTAATCAGAATTATTCTAATCAGAATTTGAAAGCAGAACACCAATTCAGCCTTTCTAAAAACATTCTGAAAACATTGCATGTTCAACAACCCTGAAAAGAAATTCAGGGAGCAAAGACAAAAATCCTCCTATTTTAGGAAGGAGTAAAAATAAAAGTGCTTTAAAAAGTCTCCTTCAAATCCGATTAGGAGGAAGGGGAAACAAGGGCTTTTTAGTTAAATGCAAGGGATTCTGAGAACAGGATTTATAAGAATCCCCAGGCGTATATTGGTAATATCGGGTTCTACTTACCAAGCACTAATTAAGCACTAAGCACTTTCTGTGCCTTATTTCATTTGACCACCCCCCTCCCCCATACAATCCGCTGAGGTTGGGAGTTACAGAGGCGGAAATGAGCTCTGGGAGGTTAATACCGAACCAAGTCCTACTGAGGTACGGATTCTGAGCCAGACCTCTCCATCACAATCTGAGATCCCCAAGGTGGCCCCAGCACAAAAGATCATCTGATATAGGCAATTTCTAGGTTGGAAGTTCCTTGAACAAACATCCAACCCATCCAGTCCCCCTCTTCACTTTCACAGGAGGAGAGGGAAATCGGGCCAGAAATCTAAAAGCAAAACAAAGCAGCCATCTGGGTAGGAATCCGTGTTCAGGGAGCCTCAGACTTAAATCACAATGCTCCGGGAGCTGGGTTCCTGCAGCATCTTTCTGGCTTACAGGCATACGGACAACATTCAAGATGAACATCACAGCATGGATTATGTTGTTTTTGGGCAAGTCACTGAACCCCCTTTGAGACTGTGTTCTTATCTGTAACACAAGAATAGCAGAGAGCTCCTGCCTCACTGGGTTGTTGGAGGATTAAAATGGGAACCTGGGGGTACCTGGGTGGCTCAGTGGTTGGGCGTCTGCCTTTGGCTCAGGTCATGATCAGGTCCTAGGATCAAGTCCCACATCAGGCTCCCTGCAGGGAGCCTGCTTCTCCCTCTGCCCATGTCTCTGCCTCTCTCTATGTGTCTCTCATGAATAAATAAACAAAATTTTTTTAAAAATTAAATAAATAAAATAAAACAGGAAACTGGTTCCTCGAGGTCCAGCCCCTAGGTCCCAACTCCTTCACTGGAGTTCAAGGCAATTGCAGTCATGGGCGTGAGGAGCCTCTTTGCAGATATGCCCCCTAAGTCACACATCTTGGGACCAGGCACCTGACAGCCATGGCTCCCAGGTCCTTTATTTTACTGACCCCACTGACCGCATCATCCATGTGGTCCGACTGAGACTACAACAGGCAACCAGGTTCTTCATACTTCCTGAGGGGTTGATGAGGAAAGGAACCAGATCTGGATCCCCAAAATAAGATCCACAGAGCAGTGTAGGTTTCTTCAAAGTGCTGAGTGACACCCACCCTCCCACCCCCACCCCCATGACCTGGTTTAGAAGGCACTGGCAGCCAATGAATAGAAGACCATCTTCAGGTAGGGGGAGGATATGTTATCCCCAATGCCAGGGTCAGGCCCAGGGCCCTTGGATTTTCTTGAGGAATTGGTGACTGTCCCCCACCCTTCTCCTTTACTGGCTATGGAAACTGCTAGGAGGATGGAGGCTACAGAGCCCCTCCCATTGTTTTTGGTCTGTAAGGCCCTAAGGAAGCTTCCCAAAGTCAGATCTTTAGGCCTCAGGGTGATTTTCAGAGGAAGGGCCTCCCAGGACTTTTCACCAGCCGAGAGTTCTCCAAGGCAGGGTCCAAGGTCCACTCACATTTTCTTGGCTTTTCATAGACGGGACGGGACCCCCAAAGGAAAATCTTGTTACCAAAGCAGGACTAAGGCCTTGAGCATGAGTTTTCTGGGGGAATCTGTTCTACCTCTGGTTGCACTTGCTCTGCTCCCGGGGTCCCGCAGCAGCCCCACGGCGCACTTGGTCGGTGTGTTAGAAAGGAGTGTGCGCCCCTGGTAAGGAGGCCCGTCGCCCCAGGCTCGGATTTTCCCAGGAGCAGGACAGGCCTGTCCCACAACTGGGTCCCATTTTTGCAGCCTCCAGGGCCACTGGCTGTGATCTCCTTGACGTTCATGTGGACCTTTTTCAGGAGGGGAATGGACCCGCCCCCCTCCAGCTCTGCCTCCCTCCAGTTCTAGCTGATGCCCCGGGCCCCCACCGAGCATGCACGACCACCGGCAGCGTCCCAACCGTGGTCCTGGCCCCTGGCTCCCTCCTAGGCGCCACCTCTCAACTTCTCCCACTTACTCCCTGGTTGCCACACTTCTCAGCTCTTGCACCTGGACCCCCAGCTCCGCCCCTGCAGTCCTGCGCGCATCCCCACCCCCACCCCGACCCCATGGCTTGCTTCCAGCCCTGGGCGCACCCCCCCCCCCCAGCCCCTGGCTCTCCCGCTCCATCCCCGCCCCAGGCCCCTCACCTGCATAGAAGGCCGAGACGGCCACCGGCCCGCCGATCGCCTGGTCGCACAGCACCTTGGCCAGCACCGCGCGCGGCGCACGGCCCGGCAGCGCGCGCTCCAGCAGGCGCAGCCACACGTAGTTGAAGTTGCCGTGGAAGGTCACGGCCACGGTGGCCACGCGCCGCGTCTGCTGCCAGTCGGCCTGAGCGCCCCGTAGCCGTTGCTGCAGCGCGTCTCCGGCGGAGAAGAGCGCCGCGTAGAGCAGCACGTTGGTGGGCCACGGGTAGCGCCGGGCCGCGCGCAGCGGCGCCCTGCCACCAGCCAGCCATGCCCATGGGGGCGCGGGGGTGCCCAGCGACCGCGGCGCCAGCTCCCGCGGCCACGCCCGCCCGCGCCCGGCCCTGCGCGCCGCCTCCGCCACCTGCACCTGTCCTCGCGGATGCTCCCGAGCCATTGGGCGCCCCGCGCACACCCAGTCCGCGCGCTCCAATCCCGTGGCCGCGGGGCCGAGCCTCGGAAACGCGGGCCGGTGCACCGAATGCGGGATCCGTTTCCCTGAAATGTCCAGAGCAGGCTCGTGCATCGACAGAAAGTAGGCTAGCGCTTGTCGGAGGCTGTGGGGTGGGGGTTGGGGTGGGGGGGGGATGCGAAGTGACTTGGGTGTGCGCTTCTTTGGCGTGTGATTATATCTCAAAAAAAAAAAGTTGAAAGAGATGGGAAGACAAGGGGGGGAGGAAGAAGGGATACCAAAACCCAGTTACCAAGAGGACGGTGTAATGTTAATGTGCAAACAAGTCACCCTTCCAATGCACACAACACGCTGTTAGGTCGCTTAGGAGACAAATCCAGAAGTTCACGTGTGAAGCCTTTTCTGAACGGGAGCTCCCGTAAGGTAAGAGGGGGGACCTACTGCCTTCTCTTCAGTGTGGGACTCTCTGAATATTGCCTCGCAAAACATGCTGAGCTCCCAGGCAGTGTCCCAGAAGGAGGGGGTCACTGGGGACCCCAGCCCCAGATAACCATCTCAGCCCTCCTTGCTTCTTTTCCTCCTTCCTTGTTTTTTCTTTCTTCATTGACACATCCAAGCCCATCCTCATTCTCTGTCTCTTTCTCTCTTCTATTAAGCTACCCTCTTTTTTTAAAGATTTTATTTATTCATCATAGACATAGAGAAAGAGAGAGAGAGAGAGAGAGAGAGAGAGAAGGCAGAGAGAGACACAGGCAGAGGGAGAAGCAGGCCCCATGCCAGGAGGCGGATGCAGGACTCCATCCCAGGACTCTAGGATCGCGCCCTGGGCCAAAGGCAGGCGCCAAACTGCTGAGCCACCCAGGGATCCCCCAGCTACCCTCTTTTATTTCATTTTAGTTTTTTAAAGATTTAGTTTATTTGAGAGCAAGAGAAAGAGAGAGCTCAGAATGGCAGGGGAGGGCCAGAAGGAGAAGGAGAGAATAGGGTGCCCCTCGTTTTAATTTGTTTTAATTTTAACTTTTCATTTCGAGATGATTCCAGACTTAGAAAAAAAAAAGTTGCAAAAGTAGTACGGAGTTCCCATACAGGCATACCCAAGCTTCCCCAAATACTGACATCTTGCATAATGACCATAGTACAATGATCAAAACCAGACACTAATCGCTGATGTAATACTATTACCTAATCTACAGACCTTATTCAAATTGTTGCCAGTTGTCCCACTAAAGTCCTTTTTTCCAGTCTGGCCTCCAGTCTGGCATCCTGGTCTGGATCATTTTGCATTGCACTGAATTATTATGTTATCTATGGTCTTAGTCTCCACTCTGGGGAGCTGGGGGTTATTTTGCAGACTTCCTCCACTTGACCCCCTTATTGTTATGGGCTGAATTATATGCCTCCCCAGATTCATATGTTGGAGCCCTAGCCCCCAGGATCTCAGGATGTGACTGCTTTGGAAATAGGGCCTTTAAAGAGGTGATTGGATAATGATAGGATGGGACCAAGCAATCTGACTGGTGTCCTGATAAGAAGAGGGAATTTGGGGATGCCTGGGTGGCTCAGCGGTTGAGCGTCTGCCTTCGGCTCAGGGCGTGATCCTGGGGTCCTGGGATCGAGTCCTGCATCGGGCTCCCCACAGGGAGCCTGCTTCTCCCTCTGCCTGTGTCTCTCCCCTCTCTCTCTCTCTCTGTGTGTGTCTCTCATGAATAATAAATAAAATCTTTTTAAAAAAGGAAGAAAAGGAGGGAATTTGGAGACGCACAAAGAAGCACCCGGGCAGTGCATGCACAGAGGAAAGGTAGTGTGGGGACACAGTGAGAAGGAGGCCACCTGCAAGCCAAGAAGAGAAGCCTCCGGAGAAATCAGCTCAGCTGACACCTAGACCTTGGACTTCTAGCCTTCTGAACTGTGAGAAAATAAATTTATTTTTTAACCCACCTAGTCTGTCATTTTTCATTCTGGCATCCCTAGCTGACTAATAACACCCATTCTCTTTAATTCTTGAAAATCTGCCAATTTTTGTGGTCTTTGACCCTTTCTTCTTGCTTCAAGTCAAAAGCCAGGCATCCCACACCCCTGCCCCCCCCTCATTCTATTGGCAATCATTTCTGACTCTGACCTGCCTGTCTCTCTCTTAGAAGGACCTTTGTGATTACATTCAGCCCAACTGGATAATCCAGGATAATCTCCGTATCTTATGTCGAGAATCATCTACAAAGTCCCCTTTGCCGTGTAAAATAATGTATTCACACATCCTGGGGGTTCAGACAGGACATCTTTGAAGGGCCATTATTCAGCCTACTGTACCCCCTTTTATCATGTCTTCCTTCTCTGTAACCCTTCTGATCTCTTCAGACAGCAATTGATCATGTTAGCTGACATCAAACCGCCTGTTTCTCAATGCATATGCATAAAGACTATCTTTGTCCAGCACTTTTTCATTCATTCACTCAATAGATCAATAGTCTTGAGTACTATTATATGCCATGCACTAAACTCTATGCTTGTGGCAAGGATTTGTATTTGCAATGCCTTTTTAAAAAATCTAATTGCTGCCTAGAGGAAATTGTGGCCTTCATTATGAATACAAGAAAATATCCCAGATGATTCCTACACCACTCCCTTGACCAAATTTGTTAGAAAAATAGAGCAAAATTGGAGACAACAAGCAGGAAGGTGGGGTGGGGAGGGATTGGCGTGGTGGCCATGTGAAATACAAGATGCCCAGTTAACTTTGAAATTTCAGATGAACAATGCATGACTTTTTAGCATAAGTCTAAATATGCCCCATGCAATATTTAGAACACACTTATAATAAAAAATTTTCACTGCTCATCTGAAACTCAATGTTAACGGGCACTCTCTATTTTTTAAATTTATTTTGCTAAATCTGGCACCCCTTTGGTGAGAGCCCGCTACATATGTCTGTTATCTATGAGGCACCCAACACCTGAACTCATTATTTCTCTTAGAACTCCAGTGAGGGAGGGGATTGGAAACAATCTGCAGGGACATACATCCTCCAAAATCTATGGTGATCTTTATCAAGCAGCTCAACATATTTGCTTAATGGGAGTTGAAAGATAAATAAATACCAAGAAGGCTGAGATGGTTCAACATGGGTTGCTATATATTTGTCTCTTCTTAAAAACAAGAAAAAAAAAAAAACCACCCAGTCATTAAGGACAATCTATTACTCAAGCAAACGCTGAAGGACCCACATGGCCTTCAAAGAAGAGGAGATGCTCTAAGATAAATTAATTCATTACATCGATGCTTCATCATCTGTGCAAGCTGTGATTTGGAGCCCTCTGGCAACAATGAGGCAACACATTCCATGTGACATTAATATCTCTGAACAGTAGGGGATAACTTGGAGAATGGAGCGCCGTGTTAAAATATAAAAGGAATTTTTTGAGGAAGAATTTCAGCAGGGAATAAGCCCTGATGTGGGAACTGAGTTTCAATGTACAACTAAGGATCACATTAAAAATACATTAGGATGATTACAAAGAAGCTTATTGTAGCAGCTATTATTTCTTTTTATTTAAATGAATCAGGGCTTCATAAGAACCACCATGTGGGCCACAGTGTCTAAAATCTTCTATCCCCTCTTGAAAATTTCTCTGAAATTTCTACTGACAAACTGAAGGCTTCTATGCTTAAAAGGCTGCAAGACAGGTCTGTTTTGCAAAGAGCAGAGGAAGCAATCACTTAAGGCTACCCCTCAAAAAGGAAAAACAAAAGAGAGGTTCCTTGGGCAGCCCCGGTGGCTCAGGGGTTTAGCGCCGCCTTCAGACCAGGACATGATCCTGGAGACCTAGGATGGAGTCCCATATCCGGCTCCTGAGTGGAGCCTGTTTCTGTCTCTGCCTCTGTGTGTGTCTCTCATGAATAAATAAATAAAATTTATATTTAAGAAAAAAAAAGAGGTGCCTAGGTGACTCAGTCCGTTAAGCATCTGCCTTCAACTCAGGTCATGATCGTGGGATCCTTGGAGGGAGTCTGCTTCTCCCTCTCCCTCTGTTCCCCCCCCACACTCATTCTCTCTCTCTCTCTCTCTCTCTCTCTCTCTCTCTCTCTCTCTCCAATAAATAAATAAGATCTTTTTTTAAAAAAAGGTCCCTGAAGCTCCTCAAACCCTTCCAAGATCACCTCTAAGACATCACTTGTTTCTGGTTATGGATACAGAGCAGAAAACCATCTTCCTCCTTGTCACCTGAAATGAGGCTCAAAGGGAGGCTGACAAGGATACTATGGAACCCTCCCTCTTTCCTTCCCACCCTTTCATTCCAGAATGCTTACTCTAGAATTTCTCCAGCAGAGATCCAAATGGAAGAGGCTGGGTCGACTTGAAGCTGGGTATGCCCAGCAAGCACACAGTCTTTCCTTAGCGTGGCTACAGATGAATTAAAAGAGGTATGCTTGGGACACCTGGGTGGCTCAGTAGTTGAGTGTCAGCCTTTGGCTCAGGTTGTGATCCCGGGGTCCTGGGATGGAGTCCTGCATCGGGCTCCCCGTGGGAAGCCTGCTTCTCTCTCTGCCTGTGTCTCCGTCTCTCTCTGTGTGTCTCTCATGAATAAATTTAAAATTTTTTTCTTAAAAAAGAGAGCTATGCTTTATGTAAATCATACTACACTAATTACTACCACCCCCACCCCACCCATTATTTGCGCTGTCGGGGACCAGAGGTCAACCACAGTCAGGAAGCAGATGATCCACCTTGTGACAGATTATCAGAGGGTCAATGGTAGCCTAACCTTCCCTCACAGCGCCTATATCATTCACATCACCTCCTCTCATTCTGCAGTCATTCTATCACCGCACATCATCACCAGAAGGGTGAGTACAGGACAGTAAAATATTTTGAGAGATTGACTACATTCATGTGACATTTATTATTGATTATAGTTGTAATTGTTCTACTTTATCATTAGTGTGAATCTCTTACTGTGGTTTATAAATTAAGCTTTATCATAATGATGGGGAGCAGAAGGCTAGCTGAGGACAAAGCACAAGCTCACACCCTGCAAACCCCACGCCCCCACTCCTGGGTGGGATGTATGTGACATTCCTCAGGTATTCCTAGATGCCCTAAAGCTAAGAGAAAGGAAGAACAAATAGTCAACTTACAGAGATTCTAGTTCTATAGACAGGAGTCCCGCCTCAGTTTACAAAATGTCTTAGTGATTTAGAAGAAAAAGCATTCTTATCAATAACCTAACTTCCAGAAGGAAACTCCCAACTATCTTAAAACTAATGTTTTAGTGGAAGAAAAAACAACCTTAACTTGACAATAGCAAGGCCTCCCGTATCTCCTATGTCCTCTTTAGCATACAAAAATTCTTTTGAAAATCTCTCTTTTCTTTACCCCAACTCCTGGGTATATAATCAACCATCCCTCACAACCCCAAGGCAGCAGCTCTTTCGGCTCCGTGCTTTAATAAAACCACCGTTTTGCACCAAAGACATCTCAAGAATTCTCTCTTGGTCACCAGCTCCAGACCTCACCCCTCCAAACCTCCCCTATATTCTAAAACATCAATAGAGGGGATCCCTGGGTGGCGCAGCAGTTTAGTGCCTGCCTTTGGCCCAGGGCGCGATCCTAGAGACCCCGGTGCATGGAGCCTGCTTCTCCCTCTGCCTGTGTCTCTGCCTCTCTCTCTCTCTCTGTGTGACTATCATAAATAAATAAAAACTAAAAAAAAAAAAACATCAATAGGGATGTATAGGAAAAGACACAGCATATATGTTTTCAGTACTGTCCGAAGGTTCAGACATCCACTGGAGGGTCTTGGAAAGTATTCCCCTGGGGATAATGGGAGGGAGGGACTGACTGCTCTGCTGTATGACTTTCTTTTTAAAAGTTATTTTTGGGGCAGCCAGGGTGGCTCAGCGGTTTAGCGCCACCTTCAGTACAGGCCGTGATCCTGGAGACCTGGGATGGAGTCTCATGTCAGGCTTCCTTCCTGGAGCCTGCTTCTCCCTCTGCCTGTGTCTCTGCCTCCCTCTCTGTCTCTCATGAATAAATAAATAAAAACTTTTTTTAAAAAAAGTTATTTTTGGAGTGCCTGCTCAGGTCATGATCCTAGGGTTGTGGTATCCAACCCCATATCCAACTCCCAGCTCAGCCAGTGAGTCTGCTTCTCCTTCTGCCCCTCTCCCTGTTCTGTTCTCTCTCTCTCTCTCAAAAAAACAAAAACAAAAACACTTTTTTTTTAAGGTTATCTTTATTTGGATGGGCGAATGGGATTGAAATTATGGAGGTAAGAGTAAGAGGCACCACCACTACTGACTCCCGGTCTGAACAAGCACTGGGGTAAAGAACAGGTGCTCCAGCTGGAAAAGATCAGAAAGTTAGCGGGAAGAAGCTATAAGCCTACTTCCCACCAGACCCTCAGTTTCTCCTATTAGCAGAAACAATATTAAGCAATTCTGTCTTGAAATCATTGCATTTTGGCTCTACTGTGGAAAAACCATGCCTAAAAATTGGGTCTCTAAGCAACTCTCACACCCTTGACATTGACACAAATTGTATGAAAGGTGCTTGGATAGATACGATGGGTTTGGGGCGTTTCTATGTTGGCCAGAGCTGAAACAAAGCCCTGAGGCTAAAAATGTTATTTGTTCTTTGCTCTTGTTTAGAAGTTTGGAACACTTCCTCATCCTTCTATCCTGCCCCCAGTAGAACACTAAGACACGGCAATGGATTTCTCCAGAGAGATGGTGGACCTTATAGATTCCAACCTACAACTTAGCATTTTGAAATGGTGCTGTTTGAAAGAAATATTTGAGGTAGAGTGTTTCTCTAGCTCAGGAACCCTGCTTCCACCACCTTTATTTTAAGTAACTCTTCTGCCCACAATTGGTGTGGGATAATAGAGCAATTAAATTTATTTCATTAATTTTCCATTGTGACGTTTTGGGGAAAGAAAATAGCTTTGCCAAGTAAGTCCTCCTAAAATACATCAAAAAAAAAAAAGGAAATTTAAAAATCTGAAATCATGGGAAACCCAACATAAGAGGTAGCTTTAAAGATACTGCATATTCAAAATGCAAATGAGTTAAGAATTTCCATATAAAAGGTGAATTAATTAGGAGACTTTTCTTCTCCATTTATGCTTTTTCTGAACCTCTGAAACTCCAGTTACTATAGGAAATGTATGACTCTACTAAAATGTGGAAGAAATAACTAGTAGAATACGGATCTGGGGATGAGTTTAGTACTCTATCTGCCTGATTCAATCAGAGAAATCACATCATAATTAGAACAAGGAAAGGAGGGGCTCCTGGGGGGCTCAGTAGGTTAAGTGTCTGCCTTTGGCTCAGGTGATCATAGGGTCCTGAGATTGAGCCCTTCCTCCAGCTCCCTGCTCCAAGAAGAGTCTGCTTTTCCCTCTCCCCCTGCTTGTGCTCACTTGTGCTCTCTCTCTAACAAACAAATAAAATATTTTTTTAAATAAAAGGGTAATACAGTTGATTCTTATTTTTCAAAGCAGTTATATTCTATAAATTTGCTATGAACACTTAAATTAGCAAATGTTGAACTGTGACTTTTCCAGGTTAGGGTCCATTGAGGCTCTGGTCACAGCATTTTCATCAACCGATTGACCCGTAAACGTGGCTTTGTGTTTCTGTTGAAGGTACCTCGTTTAATATAGTGTTGATTCATTCCCATTGAACTCTCAGCCTACAATGTTATAACTCATGTCTGAACAAAGCTTATCTACCACTGTTTTCTCCTGAAGGCACATGACAGCCTTCTTGCACTCAGGAATGCTAGACAGCACTTCACCACTCTGCTTGACGGCCTTTTTAAGCAGCGATTTCACTAATGGCACAACAATGTGGAAAAGGTGGCACGACACAGACTGTGAAAGGGACACTTGGGACGTCTGGGTGGCTCAGTGGCTGAGTGTCTGCCTTTGGCTCAGGGCGTGATCCCAGGGTCCTAGGATCAAGTCCCACATTGGGCTCCCTGCAGGAGGCCTGCTTCTCCCTCTGCCTATGCCTCTGCCTCTCTCTCTCTCTCTCATGAATAAATAAATAAAAATTTTAAAAATAAATAAAAAATGTTTTTAAAAAGGGACCCTCATTTACAATCTGAGAGCTGTGACATGAAGGCACAGTGTCTCCGGGTTCTACTCCAGCCGGGAATATGCAAGCTGGTTGACTTAACTGTGTAGCTGCTCTGTGCATGTGTATCCCTTCAAATAATAGCAAAAGCATCTGGAGCATGAATTCTGGGGTTCCAAATAAACTTTAGCAAGCAGTTGAGTTTGAAAATATGGAATCCACAGATAATGAGGATTGACTATACAGAATTGTTAACGGTGAATTGGAATAAGGAGGATTTAGATAATAAGAGAAATCTAAAGAGTGTAGAAACAGGAGGCATACAGGACAGCCCTGCTGCCAGGACTGAGAGAAAAACACACAAGAAAGACCCTTCCCCCCCACCTCCAGGGCACGAATCCTGACCTTGTTGGGAGGGCATAGTCCTGGCTCACTGAATGGCAAAGTCAGTGGCTATAATGCCCTGCTGGGTGGTGGCATTTACTGGAAATCTGCTCTCTAGGGAAGGCTGTTACGGAGCAGTGCCTCATTGGAGGTACTCTGCTACAAAACCATTAGGAGGGGTGCCTACATGGGATATTGTGATTTATAATAAGAAATACATATTTGGGGGGCACCTGTGTGGCTCAGTAGTTGAGCGTCTGCCTTTGGCTTAAGTCCTGATCCTGGGGTCCTGGGATCAAGTCCCGCATTGGGGTCCCCATGGGGAGCCTGCTTCTCCCTCTGTTTATATCTCTGCCTCTCTCTGTGTCTCTCATGAATAAATAAATCTTTTACAAAATCTTTACTACTTTGATAAGCAAAAATTCTATCTCATTTGATTTTTGCATTTTTTGATCAGTAGTAATGATTTTTTAATGTGTGTTTATTGATCATTTGCACATGTTTTCCTCTTTAATTATTGTATGTTAATGTTTTTGTTCCTTACCCTTTGGGGCATAAAGTTTTAGAGAAGGCTGAATTATTTCATAAAATGTAAATAAATCTGAAACAAATAAAAGGTAGAATTTACCGTTTTTTTTAAGATTTTATTTATTTATTCATGAGAGACACAGAGAGAGAGGCAGAAACACAGGCAGAGGGAGAAGCAGGCTCCACGCAGGGAGTCCGACATGGGACTCGATCCCAGGTCTCCAGGATCAGGCCCTAGGCTAAAGGCAGCGCTAAACCACTGAGCCACCCGGGCTGCCCTAGAATTTACCTTTTTATGCTATTTTACTTTTTGCAATGTCAACTAAAATATTCAATAACATCTAAAATTTTACTTTAGGGAAAAAAGAATCTTAAACATAAGTTGAAATGTGGCTTAACATGACAGTTAAATTTTTTTTTCATATGGCTGCATCAATCTTAACATACTTGCTTCAGATTTTCCAAGACTTCATGCCCAACTCTGCTCCCATGATATTTGGATGATGATAGGTCTGTGAATTGTGAGAACTGCTCGAACATCAAAGAAAGGTCCTTTGAGTAATAGAAAAATCAGTGGGAATGCCTTCCTCAAGATCTTGAAAATTAATGGTAAATTGTCCATGGTAGTGGTTTATTTTGGTTGATTTTCTTTTATTTCCAGCTAATTATCAGTGAACAAATATTCTCAATGTTTCAGAACAGAGATTTCGAATTTACAGCTTGAAAGATGAATTCATTCATGATTTATTCTCTATTCTCTTATCCTGCTCTATTTTCCTGATGGTACTTAAAATTAATTAATATTAGATAGCTATTTGTTATCTCTCCATTCCAATGCAGTGTAAGATCCGCAAATGCAAAGACTCTTTTAATCACTGTAACCCTGATTCCTAGAATACTGCCTGGCATGTAGCAGACTCTCAGAAAATATTTGTTGAATTAATGCATTCAATAATCATACACTGCATCCCAGACATTGGACTATGGAGACCTGGGATGTGAAATTGCTTACTTGGCCCATAGAGTGTCTTTAAAATGTGATACTCATTAAAACCAGATTGAAAACACTGGAAATGTTTGGAAATAAAATCTGCACATTGTGCCAGCATATAGATTCATTATCCATCCATTCATTCATTCATTCTCCAACCGTTTTTAGAGTCTACGTGCCAATTACTGGGGACAAAATAACATTACAGACAGACTCTGTCTCTGCAGAAATGGCATTTATAGTCTATTAAGGGGGATCCCTGGGTGGCGCAGCGGTTTGGCGCCTGCCTTTGGCCCAGGGTGTGATCCTGGAAACCCGGGATCGAATCCCACGTCGGGCTCCCGGTGCATGGAGCCTGCTTCTCCCTCTGCCTATGTCTCTGCTTCTCTCTCTCTCTCTCTCTGTGTGACTATCATAAATAAATAAAAAAAATTTATAGTCTATTAAGGGAGACAGACATTAAACAAATAACTACGATTGTGCTAAGTACACGGAAAAAGCACAGGTGCCTATATGAGCACTTATGACGTTTCCCTGAGAAAATGATATTTAAACTTCTACCAAAGAGGTTAGAAGTTTATCAAGGGGAAAGAAGGAAAGAACAATCCAGTGAAAGAAAACCACTTCTCAGGAAGGGGTTTGCTGTAGTAGAAGAACAAGGGAGGGGCACTGGGGTGGCTCAGCCAGTTAAGCATTTGCCTTCGGCTTAGATCGTGATCCCAGGGTCCCAGGATCGAGCCCCATGTGGTCAGGCTCCCTACTCAGGGGGAGTTTGTTTCTCCCTCTGCCTCTGCCCCTCCTCCCGTAGTGTGCATGTGCTCTCTCTCTCTCTCTCTCTCGCTCACTCTCTCAAATAAATAAAATCTTGGGGGAAAAAGAACAAGGGAGACATGAGAGCTGAGGTGAAAGGAGGCCAAATCATATTTGTGGGCCATGTGAAGGATGCATGCTTTGCTTCATTCCAGGGACCACCCAAGGCTTCTCATCAGGAGATCCAATTTCCCTGTTTAATAGACTACTCTACTGGTTGTGTTCAGAATGGTTTGGCTACAGAGGTTGCTGAGGTATGGCAGAGTCAAGGAGTGGAGATGGAGATGTGGACAGCTTTGAGAGATATTTAAGAGGTATGTGTAACACACGGATTGGAAGATGTTGGGGAAGGAGAAGTGTATGAGAAAGACACCAGTTTCCTGGCTTGAACCACTGGGCGGGTGATGGTGCCTTTACTGGGATGGGGGATGTCAAGGAGACCCTCGTTGTGGATGGAAGAAGATGTGTTCGATACGTATCTATGAATGTACATAACTGGATTACAAGTCTCAGAAACATGATAACCCTCACTATATGGGATGCACTCTAATATTTTTTAATCAACTTTATTGAAGTATGTTTTACATATAATAAAATACATCCATATTGCATACACAAGGAGTTGTGACAAATGCATATACCTCTGTACACCACCACAACTAAAATTAAAATTTCTATCACCTCCAAAAATTCCGTTTCCCATGTGCGCTGTTAACTCCCCTCCATCAGGGGCCCCAGGCTTTCAATCATTATAGATAAGTCTGCACTGCCTAGAATTTCATGTAATTGGAATTACACCATGTATGTATTCTTTATATTTGGCTTCTCTCGGCATAATGTTTCTGAGGTTCATCTATGACGGGAGTCTGCGAACTACAGTCTATAGGCCAAATCTGGCCAACTGACTATTTATATAAAAGTCCAAGATCTTAAAAAAAAATCTGAGAGCTAAGAATGGCTTTCTATTTCTAAATGGTTGGGTCGGGGCACCAGAAGAATATTTCATGATGTGAAAATTGTATGGAATTCGAAATTTAGTGTCCATCAATAAAGTTTTATTTTTTTAAAGCTTGTGTTTATTTTTTTAATATTTTATTTATTAATGAGAAACACACACACACACACACAGAGAGAGAGAGAGAGAGAGAGAGAGAGAGAGAGAGGCAGGGACACAGGCAGAGGGAGAAGCAGGCTCCACACAGGGAGCCCGATGTGGGACCCGATCCCAGGTCTCCAGGATCACACCCTGGGCTGAAGGTGGCGCTAAACCGCTGAGCCACCCGGGCAACCCCATCAATAAAGTTTTATTGGGAGATAGCATTGACTCCTTTGCTTACATATTGTCTGTAACTACTTTCATGCTATACAGTGTTGTGCCAGAGACTGAATGGTCCCCAAAGCCTGAAATATGTACTGCTTTCCACCTGGACCTTTACAGAAAATACTGACTTTTATGGCACTCCACGTGTCTGTAGTTCCTTTTTATGGCTGTGTAGTATGGATAGGCAACAAATATTTTTCTTTTTGCTATTGAGGAGCATGTGGATTGTTTCCTAATTATCCTTACTCCATATAATGTGCCATGATGTTTCCTAGTCCAATTCAGTTTTTCCAAATTGCGAGTCAGGACACAGTAAATTGATTTCACAACTTCTGGATTAGTTGACTGTCAGTATGAAAACAATACTGCTTTCTAGATGTTAAAGTAAAGAGTGGAGAATACAAGGTAGAGGGAGAGAAGACTGTTAGAGCTGAAGGCTGAGAAAACCCAGTAAATTAAATAAATGTTGGACAGAGGAAGAAGGGTGGAGAAGAGGCAGGCAAAGGAGAGCACAATGGAGAGTTTCATCTTGGGAAGCCAAGGAAGTCTCGGTTTTGAGAAGGAGGTGATTTGGGGCACCTGAGTGGCTCAGTGGCTGAGCCTCTGCCTTTGGCTCAGGTTGTGATCCCAGAGTCCTGGGATCGAATCCCGCATCATGCTCCCCACAGGGGAGCATTTTAAAAATCTTAAAAAAAAAGAAAGAAAAGTAGGTGATTAACTGGATCTAATGCAGCTAAGACATATTGTGTAAAATGGATTGGGACGATGTTACTGAGGGTTAGGTGGAATGAAGCAGCTGAAGCCAGATTGAGATGAGTTGGTGGTACACATGTGACGAAACTTGAGACCATAAATGTAACTGGAGGAGGATGTGGATGTGCTCTACGGGGGAGTTTTTTGTTTGCTTGTTTTTTGATGTAAAAACCACAAGAATGTTTAAAGAACACTAAAAGACAAGTATAACCTGAATTTTCAGATCAGTAGACTAAAACAGCACAAAGTTAAGCAACTGGCCCAAGTAACTTTTCAGTGTAAAGAGCTCAGGTTTTTTTGGATCTTGGAATCTGAGCTCACACTGTGCTAGTCTATGAACCAGGAAAAAGCTGGCCTATGTGTAATCCAATACTTATACCTTTGATTTAGAAGTCTACAGTAAAAAAAAAAAATACTTTTATAGCTTTTGAAGGCTTTTTGGGAGGAAAACATGATTATTCATTATCTTAGATTTGTGAATAATAAGAAACTCGCCTACTTCTATATCAGATGGGTCTCTGCTCCATACAATCTGCTTATAGAGGAAAATCACAAAGCTTCAAAAAATCAACATTAGGATCTTTTACAACTAGATGGAAACCCACATTGATGAACAGTTTACAAGGTTTTTGTCCTGTATTTGTTGTGAGACACACAAAGACTGAAGAACTATTCAAGAGCATGCTGTTCCAGGGACACCTGGGTGGCTCAGTGGTTGAGCATCTTCCTTTGGCTCAGGTCCTGATCCTGGGGTCCTGGGATCAAGTCCCACGTTGGGCTACTCATGGGGAACCTGTTTCTCCCTCTGCCCATGTCTCTGCCCCCCCCCCGTGTCTCTCATGAATAAATAAAATTTAAAAAAAATTTTTTTTAAAGAGAGCATGCTATTCCAGGGCTTCTATTAAGGACTTTACTGGGAAAATTGTCAAAATGTGAATAGAGTCCATTGATTAGGAAGTAATATCATTAAGTTATTTAGAGATGAAAGGACGTCATCTGCAACCAACTAGGAAATGATTCAGAGGGAAAAAATACGTGTTTATTCATATTTATGTATTCATTTAGAGAGAACATTATAGCGAATGTGGTGACATATTAACATTTGGGAGATTTGAGTGAAGGGTTTAAGAGAATTCTTTGTACTCTCCTTGCAACTTTCCTACAAGTCTGAAATTATGTCAAAACAAAATGAAAAATGAAAGGGTGATGAGAAATCGTATCTTGGCAAACTTCCTTGGATACCAAAATATAGGTGACATAAGAAAATTCACAGGTTTTCTCATTTAGGTCAGAATTAATGTAAAGAATGTTAATGCCTGATAACACAAAAAAAGAAAACAGGTACCGCATGCCTCCTGATGAGGAGAACGACAGCCGTCTCTGAACAGGACCCCAGAACTTCAAACCTGAACCTGATTAAGCTTTAGATTCAATTACCAATTTGCAGGAAATACAGAGACCAGAAGAAAATCCAGACTAAGGAAAATTCTAGAACAGTGGACTGAAGTCTTCAACAAATCAAATATAAAAGGAAAAAAAAAGATTTGGAAAACCTACAGATTAAAAGAGACTATACATACATATACATATGCATATATATGTATATGGAGAGACTATGTATAAAGAAATTGGGTATATATTGCTGTAAATGTCAGAAAGTGGTTATTTTTTTTCTTGGGGTTGGGGAAGCTGGGATTGTTTCAGGCAGGGGCTCCTAGAGGACTTATGTGATGTCTGAGAAGCTTTCTCTCATAGAGGGGACTGTGATTAGTGATGTTAGTCAAGAACAATTCATTTCTTTTAAGCTGTTTCCTATATTTTAACAATAAAACTTGGGTTTTAAAATATTTATTAATTTATTTAAATTCAGCTTGCCAGGATATATTCTAATACCCAGTGCTCATCTCATCCTGTGCCCTCCTTAACGCCGGTCACCTAGTTACCCTATTCCCCTTCCCACCTCCCCTTCTAACTATGCTTATGAATTCTGCCAAACAATGGAATATTACTCAGCCACTAAAAACGACAAATACCCACCATTTGCTTCAACGTGCATGGAACTGGAGGGTATTATGCTGAGTGAAGTAAGTCAGTCGGAGAAGGACAAACAGTGTATGTTCTCATTCATTTGGGGAATATAAATAATAGTGAAAGGGAATATAAGGGAAGGGAGAAGAAATGTGTGGGAAATATCAGAAAGGGAGACAGAACATGAAGACTCCTAACTCTGGGAAACGAACTAGGGGTGGTGGAAGGGGAGGAGGGTGGGGAGTGGGGGTGAATGGGTGACGGGCACTGAGGGGGACACTTGATGGGATGAGCACTGGGTGTTATTCTGTACGTTGGTAAATTGAACACCAATAAAAAATTAATTTATTAAAAAAAAAATTCTGCCAAACTAACCAAGCATGGTCTCAGCATTGCCACCTCAAGTCGTCTTTAGGAACTGCAGACTTCTTTCCAAAATTGCCCGGTAAAGGTAAGAATTATTGAATTATTGAAATTTATTTTTTACAGGCAGTTTACTTTTTTTTATTTCATAAAAGGAATACATACAAAAGGCAAAAATTCAGATAGTATAGAAGAATATAAAATGGGATATTGCCAATTTATTTTTCCTTATCTCAAAACCCCTACTCCCATTCCATAGAAACTTTCACCTTTTACTTTGTAAAAAATATCTTTGTATCTGTTTCTTAATTTAGAATGAATCTATTGTTCCATTACTCTAAAAATGGGAAATTCATTGCCGTTTGCACTGGCTCGCCTATCCTCTCCACCTTCTGATTTTTGTTAATTTTATTTCTTCTAGAGATAAAAGTGAATACCCTTTATACCCTTAAAGATCACATTGCAAACTTTGAATCTTGATTTAGACCTTTTAGCGAGTATTTACTCACACTCTGAAATGAAGTTGAAGACATTAGTAATTCCATTTTTATTCCTACTCACCTTGCCTCTTCTCTCCCACTTTTTTTGTAATTTATTAATTTTATATTGCCGTGGTGAATAGTAAATACATCGTCCATAGGTGTCGCTTGGTTAACTCAAAAAGAGGTTAAAAGCAACATCTACGATATGGTTATTTATTTTTATTTTTTTTTCAATATGGTTATTTAAATGTCAATCAGGGTGCAACAAAAATCATGTGAATGGACTCAAAGGGAAAAATAACCACATTTTTTTTACTTTTTTTTTTTTCCTATGATCGGAAAAGATCTGTATCAGACCTTTTTTTTTTTTTTTGCCTATGAATCAGGAAAAGGTCTGTATCAGCATGTATAAGCCAAATGTTCTCACAATGAGTGATTTCATGCTTTGGCTTCCTACAGTATTTTTTTTTCTCATATGTCTGTACTAGCTCAAAGAACACTGCATAATAATTTATCAGCGTACATATCTGTCCAACCACAAGGCAAATAGTTTTAACTTATTTTGCTGTGTGGTGTCACAGACAGACTTTATAAAAGGAAAGCTTTGGATATTTTTCCCCCAGACAAATGCACTCAAATACAAAATTTGGTGTATAGTTTCAGGAGTTTCACAGGCTTTCCTCTGGGTCCCAAAGTAAAAACCTCTGCTCTAAACAGAGTTTCCTTAAAGGCAGAGATAGTGTCTTTTTGTATTCCCAGCTCCTAACTGTTCAAGATGGCAGCTAACAAACATATTTGGGTAAATATTAGTATGTGTTGCTGAAGCCAGCATTATTTGGGTAAATACTAAATGAATTATTCCCACTTTTTCACATGGGAATAATTTTCATGTTTTAAAGTTTACTTCTAGAATAGAACAGGTTAGTTTCATCTCTCTAGTTTCCATTGTCATGTAATCTACTTTATAATGTAATGGGCAGATACTTGGAGGTGGCTTTAGAAATTATGAATTTTTTAAAATTTATTTATTCATGAGAGACACAGAGAAGCAGAGACAGGCAGAGGGAGAAGCAGGCTCCCTGCAGAGGACCTGATGCAGGACTTGATCCCAGGACCCCCGGGGGGATCACAACCTGAGCTGAATGCAGATGCTCAACCACTGAGCCACCCAGGTATCCCGAAATGATGAATTTTTAATGATTCATGCTGAGATGTTCAGGGGTGAAACATATTGATGTCTACAACTTTTAAGTCTATCAGAACAGAAGATATACTGATGGATAGATAGATGCTTACGTAAGAAAGCAAATATAGGGAAATGCTCATTGTAGAATCTAAAAAGTGGACATGTGATTGTTCACTGTACGGTTGTTTTTCCCAAATGTCTGAACATTTTCATAATAACTTGGAAATAGTGATGTGTTTTGCTCAAGCAGAGGTACATTCAACGTGAGACCTTGGAAGACATCATAAATCTATCTTTCCTTCTGTTGGCAGAACTCACAATCTGAATAGTTAGTTCCCTTGGTTCGCTCTGAGCCAGCCGCACACAAGGCTTCTTTTGGTAGAAAACAATTTTATTAACGTAGCTGGGCAGTTTACCAAATACGAGTTAGACAGCGCGAAACATATTAATTACTATACTGAAACCCCAGGCTGTTTACACAAATTTCAGAAGAGATGTGCACAACAGAGGAGGGGAAAGGGGATGGTTTTGCGGCTGTAATGTCATCAGTCTTTGGGGGAAGTGGTGTTTTGTTAAGATTTTATTTGTTTATTCATGAGAGACACAGAGAGAGGCAGAGGGGGAAGCAGGCTCCCTGCAGGGGACCTGATGCAGGACTCGATCCCGGGACCCCGGGGTCACGCCCTGAGCTGAAGGCAGACGCTCAGCCACTGTGAGCCCCCTAGGCGCCCCTCTGGTGAAGTGTTTTACTGACTGCAAACGTGGTAGGCTCGTCTGTTGCAGCTTTCCTCATTAGCGCAATATATTAAGCAAATGCATGGCCTCTCTCATTCGTCAGACACACATCACGATCATACCGCAGAGGTGGAGGCGGTCACGGAGGCAGTGTGGGTAGTGGGCAGGTGCCGCAGTCAGGGTGCTTGGGTCTGGACACCCCCCTAGACGAGCACCGGGAAATGGATAACGATCTCTCCATCACAGGGCTGTTGCACTATAAAGTGGAACAGGAGCAACTATCATCATCATCATCACCTGACAAGCCCTAAGTAAGGCTTAACATAATGGAAGAAGCTGCACCAGTTGTCTCAAAGCCTCTTCCGCCTGGAATTCTGCGGTAAAAGATCGGAGACAACTACCCCGCCTTGCACAAGCACCTCTTTCCGTGCGCGCATCCCTGGGGAACCTCATACCTGAACCGTCCCCCGCCCTCTCCGCAAACCCCTCGGCACCTGGCAAAGTGCAGATCCTGCGCATGCGCTGCGGTGCTCGCCGGCCCCGCCCCTCTGTGGCGCATGGCCCGTTCCATTCCCGAGGGAGGGTGACAGTGGGGAGCCCTTGGAAGCCTGGGCCTGGAAGCACAGGTGCGCTCACTGGCATTTTCCAGCCTCTCAGTACGGGAGTGCTCACTTGTGGTTATTATGTGTCTTCCCCGACGCTTGCGCCGGGTTTCTGAAAATTTGGGGCGGTCCCACCGTGCATCCCCCCCCTCCACCTCGAAACGTTAGGACTGGCCGGCGTGACGGCCGCGTACGGAAGCCCGGAGGGCCCCCCCGGAGAGGCCCCGCCCCCTGCCTCCCAGCGACCCGCAGATTTCCCACCGCGCGGCGACGCCGGGCGGCTCCTCCTCGTCTCCGCCCCGCCGGCCGCGGCCGCGGGGGGACGTCACTCTGCCAGCGTGGAAACCGCGGCTGGCCGCGGGAGGCGGAAGTAACGCTCGGGCCGCGGGGCCTCCTCTGGGCTCTGCCGGCCGCCTCAGCCATGGACGCGTCCCTGGAGAAGGTCCGTACTCGGGCTGGGGGGTCGCGCTGCGGCCCGGGAGCCCCCCCCGCCTCCCCCCTGCACCCGCCTCCGGGGCGACTGTTTCCCGGTCGCGAGCTGCCATTGTGACCGGGGAGGGGGGCGCTCACCGGCCGTGCCGGGGGCGGCCTGGCGGCGGAGGCCCGGGCACGTCACGGTCCCCGTGGGCGGGGGGAAGCGCGGCCGCTCCTGCCGCGGGGCCGACCTTGGGGCCTGCGCGAGCAGCCCCAACAGCTCGCGGCCCCGGGAGAGCCTGCACAGGAGCCCCGCTTGTCTCGGAGCCAGCTGCAAGCTTGTAGGTTTTCAGTGGTCTCCCAATTTGCAGGGGGGGCGGGGAGGTGGAGACTGAACTTCAGCGTGACCAGGAATCCTCACCCGGGGGCCCCAGATTTTCGCCCCTAGGGTCGGAACCCGTGGGGGCGGGACGGTTTTGCAGATTCTCTCGCCCCCTCGTCCCCTCCCCTCCCCTCCCCTCCCCTCCCCTCCCCCACGTGATTCTGACGCCGCGGTTTGGGAACAGCTGGGAGCCCCCCCTGCCCGCTTCCGCGGGGTCACGGAGGGGTGCGTCTTCTGTAGAGGGGGAATTGCGTTTGGCGGGGTTTTGCTGCTACTCCAGCGGCTCGTGGCGCACCCCACCCCCACCCCCCACCCCCCACCCCCGGCCCGGCCCTCTCCGAAATCCACAGATAGCCACGATTTCCTGTGGTTCGCCGTGGGGAAGCAGCGGCGTGATGTCTGTACCTGGCTGACCGCTTTGGGCAAAGCGGAGGCGGATCCTCCTAGTCGTCCTGGATGTTTAGGGCCCGTAGATGAGAGAGAACCAGGGCTTGCATCCCTTTACGGAGACCTGTCTTCGGAACCTGGCGTTCGGCCTTCCCTTCAGGTCCTTGTCCCTCTTCAAGTTTGGGGAGTCTGCTTGTGCAGACCCAGGGGTTTCTTTTAATGCATGTAGAATTCCGGAGCAATGCTAGCTTTTTTTGTTTGTTTGTTTAAGATTTTATTTATTTACTCTTGAGAGACCACGTGGAGAGAGAGAAGCAGAGGCACAGGCAGAGGGAGAAGCAGGCTCCGCGCAGGGAGCCCGACGTGGGATCAGATCGGATCCCGGATCTCCAGGGTCACGCCCCGGGCTGAAGGCGGCGCTAAACCGCTGAGCCACCCGGACTGCCCAGTGCTAGCGTTTTAAGGTTGCTATATGTTGATTTTGAACGGGCAGAAATGACATACTTTGTCTTTTTCTTCTTCTTTTCTTTTCTTTTTCTTTTTCTTTTTCCAGCGTAGCAGCTGCTGTAGATTCACTCCCTTGTCCCTGGCAAGTTGAAGGGAGTAATTGTAGCAGTTCAGCCAGATGTGTTCAGGTGCCTCCAGTCAGTGGTATAGCCTACGCCTCAGGTTTCTCATAAACTGGGCGGAAGGCAGTCAAGAAAAAGAAAAATAAGATGATGTTTTTAGTGTTGCATGTTCTGCTGGCTAGGAATAAAGTCTTTCCAGGCCTGTGATTAAGTACAATGTCTACTCTGCGGTACTTGGAGTTACAGGTTAGGTCAGTGATTCTCGGCCATGTGCAGTTTTATTCCCCAGGGGACATTTGGCAGCTTGTCTGGAGACATTTCTGATGGTCACACTAGAGGGGTAGGGAGTGCTGTTGGCACAGAGTGGGGTAGAGAGGCCAAGGATGCTGCTAAAACTCCCACCTTGCACAGGACAGCCTCGGTACCAGAGAATTATCTGCTTAAAATGTTAGTCATGGCTGAGCTGAGCGTTCCTGGTCTGGATCATATGTGTGATGTCAGTAGTTGAAACATAAAATGATGCTAAGATTGCCTCTCCATGTTGTGTTGTTTCCTGTCCCATTTTCAATTTTTTTTTCTTTATTTATTTACGATAGTCATAGAGAGAGAGAGGCAGAGACACAGGCAGAGGGAGAAGCAGGCTCCATGCACCAGGAGCCCAACGTGGGGTTCGATCCCAGGTCTCCAGGATCGCGCCCTGGGCCAAAGGCAGGCACCAAACCGCTGCGCCACCCAGGGATCCCCCTGTCCCATTTTCATAGGACAGAATGGGCTTTGTGTCTTTTCATTTAGGAACCTAAAGAACTGGTGTGATCTTTCCTCCACGAATACTTTTTTATAGGCAAATCTGAAAAACAGAATGGGTTGGAATCCCACTTTAAATATTACTTTTCTGGCATTTAACTAGTCTATGACACTGGTTTCTCCCTGTAAATGTAAATCAATGATAAAAGATTGTAAACTCTAAAAAAATAAAAAAAAATTAAAAATAAAAAAAATTAAAAATAAATAAATAAAGATTGTAAACTCTCCAAATGAAGATCTGAAGAAGAACTGAAACTCCAGAGAACTTAAGGCTGGAGCATTCGCAAAGATGGCAGTGATCTTTGAGGAATTCAGAATGTGGGCTGGAAGTTTCGGCCTTAGGCCAATGTGGAAATTCTGAATGTAAGTTTTTGAAAGCTAAGACTGTGTCTTATTTTTGTATTCCCTATAGCAATAGAGGGCCTCACATGTAATGAACAATTTCTGTTGGTGCTAAGTGGGCAGAAAAGAAAAAGAATTGCTATAATATGAATGTTAGGGGTTTCATGCTCTGAAAGACTGTTTGAATCAAAGTAAAAACATTGAATTGTGTCCACTATTCCTGTTTCTTTGAGGCTATTCTGGGCTAAATTCTACATCGTAAATATAAATTCGAGAACTATTTGAGCAGTTCTGAATGATCGCATTTAAACTGATCCTTGCATAATTTATACTGGCTACAGAAACCACAATGTTATTTGATTCCCATCCTCTAATTTCAAGTAATTGCACTCTCTAAAATGTAGTAGTCCATCATCATTTAGTAGAATCAGTCAGTACATTTCCTTTGGTCCAAATATAATTTGTAGTTTTGCTTTTTCTTTATATAGAAAAGAGACCTGCAATGACAGAACCCTTTTCTTGTCTTGCTTGCTTTTCTTTCACAGTAGTATCCATTGTATCTGAAATTAGTGAAGTCTCAAGAAACCAAGACAGGTCGATTGAAGGGGCAGGGCATTCAAACCAGAAGAGTAGGTGTAGGAGCCTCAGCGCCCCAGTACTGTGTGTCCACCTCCCAAGGAACAAGGCCCTGTCACGTAGTCTCACAGTGTTTACTTATGTTAATAGTCAAGTTTAAAAAAAATGCTGCAGGAAGTAATTACTCTGATGCTTTATATCTTAATAAGTGAACACACCTACATACACTTTTTAAATAAAATCCTGCTACTTTAAACTTGTGCAACAGCCCAGACCTTTTCCTGTTGTTTGGAAAAGCTCATTCTTCCTGGGTGTTATGTTTGGATAAAGTGTATTGCAGTTTGTTTGCATTGACTTTAATTCTAACCTTGAATCAACTTAAATGCAGCCCTACTGACATTCTGGGTTGGATAATTCTCTGTTGTGAGAGGGTGTGCTTTGCATTGTAGAATGTTTAGTGGCATCCCTGTCCTCTACCAGGAGCATTTCTCACGGTGGAAGAACCAGAGTCTCCAAATGAAGCAGTTGTTGTTCCTGGGGTTGGGGGGATTGCCTCTAGTTGAGAACCACTGATTTAGAGAATCTGGAGCTGTGCTGTTGGGTATGGTTTGGCTACTTAAATTTATGTTAATTAAAATTAAGTAAAATCTAAAACACAGTTCCTCGGTCGGCACATTTCAAGTGCTCAACAGACAGTGTGGCTTGTGGCTGCGCTACCAGAGAGCATAGATGTAGGACATTTCCATGATCTCAGACTGTTCTGTTGAGCAGCACTGTAGAGTGGGGCTCATTTATTTGTTGTTGTATCTAATTCTTATCTCTAAAAGAGGCAACTTTGACCCTGTTTCTGATCGAAATAATTGCATACCGATCTATTATTTTTTCTTGTACTCATTCTGAGCAAAGTTTTCCCCCGCCTTTGGACCTGATATTGGAAAATTCTTTCGTCTCACTGTTTGTAAGTTTATAAGGAGCAATAGGAGCATGACCGGAACATCCTGATTATTACTGATACAGACTACCAGAATTTCTATTCCTGGTTTTTATTTGAAAAGTTCACAAAAGGAACCCCTATTAGCCATGTTTGAAATAACGATTTTCTGTGGTCTGACCTTTTAGACCTTGTAGAAAAGGTGACGGGAAATGATAGGCTGTAATTTTAGCATTCACTTAAAGCCGATCCCTGTATCATCATAATGTAAGTGTTTTGCATACAGGTGCATGGTGGCTGAAGTGGTAAATGATTATCAAATGCTGGGTGTCCGGGAAAACATGGTACAAAGTTCCTGATCCTAAAAATGTATGACCTTTATGATTTTTGATTTATTCGAGATTGTAGAGGCTGTCAGTGACAGAGCTGTCTATAGTCCCCAGTGTGTTCCCCCATACCTAAGATTGAGTTACGATTATAGGTAGAAATTGCCTGAGTTTAATGTCAGCTGTTTTCACCTAAAGCAGTAGCCTGCTTTGATTTAGAATTTTTTTTAAAAAATTTTTATTTATTCATAGAGACACAGAGAGAGGCAGAGACACAGGCAGAGGGAGAAGCAGGCTCCACGCGGGGAACCTGACGTGGGACTCGATCCCCGGTCTCCAGGATCACACCCTGAGCTGAAGGCGGCACTAAACCGCTGAGCTACTCGGGCTGCCCCTGATTTAGAATTTTTATTGAAGGCTGGCTTTGTTCAGAGGCCATTCCTGAGAGAAACATGAGGTGAATAAGACCTCATCCTTGCAGGAGGTTATGTTCTGATACATGTTTAGACAAATCCTTGTATATAGCAAGGAGGAGTAAAAAGTATTAAGAAAAAAATGGGGACTGCATGGAGTTGAGTGCCCAGGAAAGATTTTTTGTGGGAGAGATTTTTTTTGGGGGGGAGGGGGGATTCTTTAGGTAGAATATTCAGTTCAGAACGATGGCTTTTCTAGAGTTTGTTAAAGATGTAATTGAAATGTAAATGTTTACTT